TGGAAAAACAATTATCAATCCCCAAGAACACTTAACCTAGGAGCCCTCATAGGGTTGGCCTGCTCCCTGGACTGAATGGAGCAGAATTATTATTATTACTACTACTACTATTATTCACTCTCCATCCCCACCCCTTTTTCCCCTCCTCTCTATATATCAAACATTTTAGAGATATTTTATAAATAATGGAAGTACTAAATAAGCATAAACATAAGCAGAATAACTTAGTTTCCTTCAGAACAATTATTGAAGACAGCTTCCCCCCATCCCAGCATCAGAATGAAAGGCATAGTTTCCATGCAACTAGATCGCAAGACACCTTTTGCAAGTACAGTATTGAGGAATGTCACTTGATGGGACACAGGAAGCAGGCCTTGTCTCTCATGACGCCTGGCCTCTAGAACAGCATACTGTACCTCCAAGATTCATACAGCCCCCACTCTGACCCTATTTAAACAAGACCTTAGAATCTGGTTCTGTCCCCAGGCCTTGGGTTATAGAGGATGATGGACCCCTTGGATGATGCTGGTTTTTTAAATGATTATTGTCTTTTTCCAGACTTCTGGTGATTTTTTGTCTTCTTGTTATACCTCTATTGTATTTTGTAAGCTTTCCAGTGTTGTAACTAACTGGGCGGCCTATAATTTCCATAAATAAATAGATAAATAAAATATGTAGCTTTTTCTGCCAACAGAAAGCAGTGATTCCAGTGATGATTTTCGGCCTGCTGTGTAATTAAAGATACAAGTGTCATAGCAAGAAAATACTTTCTAAGAATGGAAGATAATGAAATAAAATTAAATTGATAGTCTATAATGTACACTTCTGACAGGAGGCAGAATAAAATAATTTTGACCCTTCATCAGGAAATGGTTTTGTTTAGCAGATCATGCTATTACATTCTTTTGAAGAAAAAGGTCCATTTCTAAAAATACATTTCAATAAAGCCAGTGCTACCCAAATTGGAATGTTGCAAGCTTTGAATTAAGTTTTTATGTGCCAGGCTATGGGAAATTATTTGGGCATGTTAATTTAATACTAAAACCAAAAAAAATTTAGTACTTCCATTTTGCTCTTTAAAATTAAAACAGAATAAAGAAATTGAGGGTTATTCTTCTTCTATTATAGTTCTACCTTACTTTGCCATTGAGGAGTTCAAGGCAACACACACGATCAGTTCTCCCTTCCTGCTTTTTTTTTTTTTTAAGTCTTTACAGCATCCTTATAAAATAGGTTCAGCTAAGGTATTCAGTACTGCTAGCAATGAATGGGACTTTGAATTGAGCTCTTCTCAGTTCTAGTGAGACACCAAGTCCAGTGCTTTAATTATTATTTTTACAAGCATTCCAAGGAAAATTACCATTATAATTTTGAACATAAATTAAGAAAATTTAGATGAGGTTTTTTTAAAAATATTTTTTCTGGGTAAGTAGGGCTACCAAATGTGGGCTACAGAAATCCAGAAAAGTACTAGAGAGATACAGAATGCTCTCTCTCAAGCCACCTATTAGATGTCTGGAGCTTGCAGCCCAGATCAGAAGGTAGCCTTTTAAATTTAATTTTACTGTATTGCTTTAATACAATTACAAAGAAGAACAAAGCCTGTGAATACAAATAAAGAAAAATAACAAAGACATAAAACAATAATTAAGAAAGATACAGCAATAATCATCTTTGTGGAAGTTACTAGAAGTAAATTGTCAAACAAAAACCTGAATCTTAACTACATGAAATTATAGCATCCAGTCTTTAGGCTGGTAAAGGGCCATTCAATGGTTGATAGTTGACATATTTCATCAGGCCACCCTTTGGCATCTGGTACCCAAATGTCTTTCTAAGAACATAAGACAATCCATTTAGCAGCAATCCAGGCAGGGCAAACCCAAAATTCTTCACATATAGATACATTCCATATTTATGGAACATAATTTAGCAACACATTAACATCTTTAAAACTTAACTTTCTTTCAACAACCTGCTTGGAATATTTAACAAATATGAAGCAATCAAAGGGTACAACTAAAGCATGTGTACTAATGTACCTTCAGATTTATATCAAGAGGTAAATAACCAACCCATTTTGAACATTCATTATTAAACTTGAAAAAGAATTGTCTGATTAATTAATCTTTTAAAATTGTAGAAAACATTTAATTTTTTTTTAATCTTTTAAATCTTTTAAATTTTTTTTGCCATTGATTTGGCAAAATAGGAAAGTCCAATTCTTTATTCCAAATTTCTTATAAATTATCTGTGTTTATTTTAGTAAAATTTATTTGTTGATTACACTGAATTTTTGACTTAGCCTCTAAAACCTTTGCTAATACACTAAAACCTGCAGGGGTTTCTGCAAGCCCAGGTAGTTGTAAATATGAGGTAAGCGTGCTAGCTCTGGCCCACATTGATTTAGGTTATTGACTTAGGATACTGATTTTGATTTTTTTTCCCCCAAGAAATTGCTGCCTAGGATCCTCATGATCATTGTTGTTCTTGCTGTTTCATTTTACAGTCTAATTTTCTACTCATAAAGTGGAAAGCGTTCTTGCTTTCAAAAAATTCATTGATGGGCATGCAGAAAGAATAAAAAGTATTTGCACCATTGTGCATTACCTTTTTGTGGTTTGGAGAATCATGGAAGCTGGGTGGGCATTTTTTTCTGTAGTAGGACTCCTGTGCTTTTAAGAGCAAGTGCACATCTGCATATCCCACTGAAATCCTGTCAGATTTTTTTAAAGTGTTGAGGTCAGCAATGTGAATTTCAAAGGTTTGTGATAACACTTGGTTGAAAGAAAATTGTGGGAACAGGAATGAGAATAGATTCAGGAAATCAGGGTTGCTAGTCAGTTCAGGACACAATGTACGTGAATTAATTACTGAACTGGCTTGAGTCATTTACATCTGGACTTAAAGTGGATATTATTGAAATTGTCTCCCTCCACCCCATTTTCTAATTTCACATCCTCATGAGATTAAGTAAGAAACACATCTTTCTATACTTTTCAGGGCAAAAAATGGATATTAATTAGCTGAGAAAAGCTGTTTAATAGTTTCACAATTTCAATCAAGTAACTAATTTCAGTCAGCTAATAAATCAGAAGCCATTGACCAAGGGGCGACACTTGATATTATATCCCTTTAATTTAGTAGCCATAGTTTTTGAAACCCAGCTGCAAGTGAATCAGTGCTGTCTCCACCCACCCAGAACCCCCCACTTTGCTTACACAAGCAGCCTTTGAATTCTCTCCCCAATCTGCTTCTGGAGATCATGTTGCTGCTTTGAAAAGGAAAGAAAGTTCATATCCAATCTCTTCTTCGTGAAAAGAAACCGGAGGCGATTTGTTAAAATATTCATGCCCAGGAAGAAAAAACCAAAACAAATGACACACGTTTAGAAAAACTGTTCCCTTAAATATTTCACAGCCTCTTTGTTGCCTAATTGCTGGCTGCCCAGTTAGGCTCAGGGGACAGATGCTGTTGTAATGGAAGTGCTGGCTCTCCTTCTGGGTCCCCAGGAGTGTCTCGGGTCAAAGAGTTAGGTTGCTCTGCTGTGATGCTATTTGGGCAGAAAGGTGCAGGCAAAATACTCATGTTGCAGGTGAATAGCGCATTATTTATTGATCCAGTTGTTTGTTTGTTTTGTGTCTTCGAGTCAGTGTTGACTCCTGGCAATAGCCTGGACTAGTCCCTGCAGTGTTCTTGGCAAGATTTCAGAAATGGTTTGCCATTGCCTGCTTCTTAGGGCTGAGAGAGTGACTGGCCCAAGATCTCCCTGCTGGCTTTGTGCCTAAGTGGGAACTAGAACTCATGGTCTCCTGGTTTCTAGCCTGGTGCCTTAACCATCACACCAAACTTAGAAGACCCAAATTCATACAGCTGTTAGTGGGATTTGTTTGAAGGGGTTCTTATTTATTAGATTTCTGTTAAGTTCTAGAATCAAATAACCCATCCAATAATACAAATATCAAACTGTAAAAACATGAACAAGGATCACAAGATTGCAATATCAAAGCAATAAAAATAATATCTAGAAGCAAAAAAGGTACATTTACTATGGAAGGAAAGCAAATAATAAAGTTGTTTTTAAGGTTTTTGCTTTAAAAAAAAATTAAAAGGAAGCCCACTGGGTTCTCTGCTGTCATCTATGGTCATCTGGAGTTTTGCAGTGCAGATCTGGTTGCTTAATCAAGACCAGAATATGAATGTATTAAGCACTGCAACTAACATTAGAAGAATCTTATATTCAAAAAAGCTTGGTGAGCAGGGTCTCCCCAAAAGGTTTGTATTTGGCAGAAAAGATGACAGCTGCCTCTTTCCCCCCACATCAGGTCCAGCTGGAAGTCAGTAGAATCTGGGGATGGGGTTGTGTCCTCCATTCTGTCTGATGCAGTGGAATCAGGCAAGTGGTATGCCATTTTCCCCAATCTGGTACCCTCCTGCTTTGGACTTCCCAGAATTCCCTGCCAGCATGGCCTTTGAAGTCCAGCAAGTCCAGAGGGCACCAGATTGGGGGTGGCTTCTGTAACATTTAGGGCTCCCTTCTCTGTGAACAGCCACAGGAGGAATGTGTCAGCATATAATCAGGAGGGAGAATATTCCTGATTTCTGGGTGCACTATCACACTGTAAACACACGTGGGATACTCAAGACTTGCCAGTGGCGCTTTGATCAGGGATAGGTCCCATGTAACAAGTGCATCTTGGTCCAAATTAACTGGCCATTTGTTCCAGGTTATTGACATCAGAATGCTTACGGCACTGGAGAATTTGGACCTTTGCCCCAACTGCTACAGCGGCCATGGCTTAGGCCAAGAAGCTTGCTCCAGGCCTGTGAGATCTAGAATGTGTGTTGCCTGGCAACACTACAGCTATTCCTACATCAATTAGAGACCTGGGGGTGGGGGGAAAGTACTAGAAGTACCCCCCTTTAGCAGATTACATATTACAAAGTTCTTTTCATTGACTTTCACTTCTATCTCAATCTTTTAAGTCTCAGAAACTTACATGGAAGCAGCAGCCACAAAAGATAAGACGGCCATGCATCCTAATGACGCAGAAAGGCCAAAATCTTGCAGGGAGAAGTTTCTTCAAGCATGGAATGAAAAGCTGAAACTCCAGCCATGTCCTATATTGTCCCCTCAAGTGCTAGCATCTCAGTCGGCAGTTGATATTCCTGTCCAAGAAAAGCGGACAAGGAACAACAAGGCCCTGTCATATTTACATACACGGGCCTCATTGCAACCCAGTGAAAACGCTGTTTACTTTGTGAAAGTAATGCCTGTTCCTCCAGAGCAAATGCATCCAACCCCTGGGAGTGTGTGGGCAGGTGGACACTGCCCACAGCAGCTGCCTATGGCATCTTGGCATAGCAACCTTGTTGTTATAGACAAGGTGCCAAGTGGATCCATGACAAATGTTGAAGAGGAACTCCTACAAATCTGTGTTTCTGATTTACTGATGGAGTCTCCAGCGCGGAAGAGGCCCAGATTGCTGCCACCTCACCGAAAGATGCATGTGGAAGTGTGGAAGAAAGAGGCATCGTACCCATTGCAGGAGGATGCAAGAAATCCAGTCCCCTTGGCATACAATCACCTGGTAGATACCATGTCAATGGCCAATGCTGCTGACCTCCCTGAAGTGGAATCTTTCTATCGCAGATTTAGCCCTAAGCTAAAACAAAGTTGTAATAGGAAGAACAGTCCAGTCCAGCCAGGGGCAGAGGGCTTTTTGCTTGCCAGGAACACAGAAGCTTCTACCTCGCAACAGGCTGTCAGAAAAACTGCCAAGATGAGGCACAAGCAGCATCAGCAACCGAGCCTGAAGAGAAGTTCTCCCTTACCTGATCTTATGGTGGCAAGCATACAATCTATGAACTTCTCTCAAAATATCCACCTGCCACCAAAGAAGCGATACACCCAAGGCTGCCTCTGAGAGATTTGCGGCTAAGTTGGCTGCATGCTAGATGTGCCTGACCAAAGCTTTTTAACAAGTCCTCCAAATGATATATAAATACAGATGTATATATTAGCTATTATGCAATGCTTAATGTAAGAGGTTACTTTTGTATTTTTGAAATAAACTTTTTTTAGCTATGTAACTGAGATAGTCTTCCACCAATCCTTAGCAGCTTTAAAACTAGGATCGTATTTCTTTTATTTTCTCTCCTTTTCCACCTACAAAAACAGATACTTTGAGGAAAACACTTTTACCTGCAATGTGGCTCCATTAGCAGCGAAGTTGAATGGTGACATTCTTACATGCACACCCACAGGAAGTATTTCAGAGTGTGAGGGATATCATAGTAATGTAGGATGTCACTACTTTGTGTATATAGCATGTGGCACAACCACACACCATTGTTGTATGTGTGCAATTGATTTTGTTGTTGTTGCAACACTGCTTTTTTCAAGTTTGACATGATCACCTTATTGGTCAGGAAAAGGGTGTCTTGCTCTAGAATAAGAACATGTGACCATCCCTTATACCAGTTCAGCCCCAGAAGGGTCTCATGTTCAGGCTGTAGTCTGAAGGCCAGGAATTAAACCTGGGTGGTTAAGAGTTCAAATCGGAGGCTGTACCCCTGAGCTCTTCAGCCTTTCACTTTGCTTCATTTGGGAAACAATGGTTTCTAGAGAAGAGCAGTGGAGTTTGTGGGAAGTATTTTTTATGGGGGATATAAGAAGAAATGAATAGACTTGCCCAGGGTTTGGAGTTCCCCTTTCTTTAAATGGTTTTTCACCAACTAACATTCAGCTTTGGTATTACTTGAATTTTATTCATATATTTTTAGTTGTTGTAGGCCCTACTGCCTATGCACCTAAGCTAGCTCCTAAAACCAAAAAAAAAAAAAAAATTCCCAGCAGGAAGAGTAGTTCAAAAGTGGAATCAATATCCAGAACGGTGGGGGCTCCTCTTCATTGATGTGCAAGTGGTGGTTAGACAGCTATCTGATTGGGATCCTTTAGAGTAGACATCATGGACATCATGGCCTTAATGTCTCTCCTTAGCTCTGTGATTCTAAGGGAGGAGGAGAGGCCCCACCCAGGCCATAAGATAAAGGAAAAAATTCAACCTACATCAGAACCCCCTCTATTCTTTAAAAAAACAGTGCTACAGACCACTTCATTCCTCCCAGTTATGTGCCATCAAGTCAAGTCGTTTTCGACTCGTAGCAACCACATAGACAAAACTGAACCTCAGCACACCAGGACAGTAGCCATTAGACTACCTCTGCAGGCTTGAAACACATCACATCCCCCAGACATAGCAGTACTGAGTCACTTTGGGGGCTTGGCTAAATTCAGATTTAGCTTGGCTAAATGAGAGCCAGTTTAGTGCAGTGTTTCTCAGCGTTGGCAACTTTAAGATGTGTGGACTTCAGTTCCCAGAATTCCCCAGTCAGCATGGGGAATCTTGCCTATATAATTACCATTTCTTTTGAGGTGTGCACACTACTATCCAATCAGAGCTGCACTAACCTGAAGTGTTTTTAGGAGGCAACTATCACTTTCCACCACCAAAAAAAATTTTTTTTAAGTCATCTTCAGTCCAGTATATCAACCATTGTTATGACCAATTGCTAATTGGTTAGAAACTCTAACAAGCTGGAACAAGCTTTAGAAAGTGTGTGGCAGATTGGCTAGCCATTTTGCTTTGTATCTTTTACTTCTAGAAAGGTGACAAACAAGCTTCTTTTAGCTATGATACTGTATATGGAAATCTGGGAATTAGGGCTCATCCAGGAGAAGCAGATGCCTCTCCTTACCTCCCCAAGCAGGCCCCTGGGGTTTCTCCACAGGGTAAATGCAGGATCTTCATGTAGACTGTGCTAAAGGAGTGCAGACAAGGCTCCCAAATTTCTACAAGGGGCTTCCCTATCCAGAAAGAGCAACTGAATTAAAGTCTACAAGTATTTCGCATTGAGTTGTGCTACCTATCCAAAACCATAGATTTCCTCTATCCTTTTTGTGCCAAGGAGCATCCCTGTTTTCTTCATAGGAGAGGATTCTCAGTAGAGATTCCTAGCAATCACTTCCTCTGCCTATCTTATTTCCTATCACCTACATTATAAGCAAACTTTAAAGAGTTTGCTCTTTAGTCTAAAGCAGTGGGGGGAATTCTGGGAGTTGAAATCCTCAGTCTTAAAGTTGCCAAGGTTGAGAAGCACTGGTCTAGAGAGATGTCTAAAAAAAACAACAACAACCAGGGAGGTGGAAATCCATCTTTCTTCCTGGATTTGCATATTTTTAAAGTGAGAGCGCTGATAACAGTGCCAGCATTCCAAATGGGCTTACTGGTTCAAAAAGGTGCTCAGCCCTTGTATTTCTAATTGGAAAGGTTGACAAAATGTCATGAGCCACCTTACTAAATGGCTGCCAGGAAGAGGATTTGCCCATTCATAAACTGGCTGCCATTTTGGAAGGAACCAGTCACAAAGCACTCAATGACTTGCCCATCCTTCTAGCATTCCAACCAACTCAAATTGCTTTTTCTGGATATGTTTGAAAACAAAGTATAAGTCTGCAGCCACACACTCAGTTATTTTGAACTAAAAATACCCAAAACAAAAAGCTAGGTGGGATAGAGCGCGTGTGGGGCCCAATACAGGCTCCCATTGAAGTTACGCTGCTTATTTCTGGTCAGATCATTTCATTATGAAGATCTGACAAATAGGGAGGGAGGGGTCAGGGCAATTGTCTCACAAAGGGAAAATCCTGGATCAATCCAGTTAAGCTCTTGAGTTCACGCTCATCAGCATATACCTGAACAATGGGCAGAAAAATGAAAGCTATATATCTAAGTTGGAAGATTCAATCTCCAGGCAAATCCTGTAGATGCACCTTTCTATTTAGTAATCAACACATTCATTTATAGCTACCGCACTTATTTCTCCAGAGTTTTACAATAATAGCAGTATTGTTCCAAAGTTATGTGATTGTTCCCAATTTCTTCTCTCTCAAAAGGTGAGAGATTGAGAAGTATATTTACATATTTAAAACATTAGTTATGGTTGGGAATTCAACCCTGATTGCTCATTGGAAGGATCGATAATGAAGC